CTTATATATATATATATATATATATATATCATCCGAGTTAGGAGGAACGAAAGAATTTCCTGGTTCAAAATCACTTTGCATGTTCATTCTATCGAACTGGTAATAGTTTGTTTCATGATTTGTTGATTTGTTCAGGTAATTGATATTGGACGTGGAGAAAAGGAAATTCAAGACCATCCATTGCTTCCTATTGCTGAAGCGACAGCGCATTATTTGATGAGACAAATGGATTACGTTGAAGCTTAGAACTGAGTTGTTTTTTTGTGAGTGGAAAAAGAATTGTCAGTTCCAGGTAGTATTGGGAAACCTGAAATAGTTTGCCCCAATTTGACTATGACTCATATTGATTGGTAATATTTAAATCTTCCGTTCTTCTTACTCATCCGTATTAGATGCATATACGCAGTAATAGACAAAGAGCCCATTATGACACTGCCTTGCCTATTATGTACCTTCTTGAAATTGTGTTGTAAATCCTCATTGTTGACGTTATATATATATATCCCTCTTCGACATTGTGAATCCCTCCCACTTGTATGCTGTAAGGGGGTTCATATTTTATAAAGAGGGGGGGGGGGTGACTCATATAAGGGCTCATATCTTTGTCCCGAATTACTTTCCCTTCATTTCGATTCATCACTTTGTTAATACAATCCATCTCAACGCACATTTCCCTCTGTCATTTGATTTTACATTGGTTATCACTCTAAATATTCCATTGGTTAACATACTGTTCTGTTGAATTCGCTCTTCGTTGTCGCAAGTCGAAAAATTCGAACTTTACTTCCTCAATGGAAGTAGGACCTTCGTTTTTCAGCAATATTTTTGATTCAGTTACCATTTGTATCCTTGCACGACAACTTTCGCGACAGGTGGCGTTTCTTTTTGCTTCATTAATCACGGTTCTGATGTATTATTGTGTCAACTATGTCATGGATTGCTAGGTTATATTGTTCCGTATTTCATCTATTCATTTGTTAAATATTGAATCGGTTTTTATTAATTTGTAGAACAGTGCAACTGTAATTAAATTTAGGGAAAAGTACAATGTGCTTTTCTCCCACAACTCTTTAAGGACGTCTAGTAGCAAGTTTTTTTTCCCTGCTACATATTTGAATTCACTTTTTTCATAACCTTGAACTTTGTTCTGTAAAAATGAGAAGCAAAGGATGAAGCTCTTACACTGTTATTCACCGACCTTGGGTGTTAGAGACACATTAAACACAAAGAACGAAGTTTACATTAAAATTGAGTTATAAAGATGATGCTTTACCAAGATGAACTATTTTGCTATCGCATCATACGGTGCGTTGGTGTCAAACACGAGAACATCTCCCAGCAATATAAGAAGATTCATATTACAAATCATTGCCCCACTTTTGATGAAATTCCCTCCCCCTGTCTCCACTTGAACCCTTGCCGCCATCACAGACTTCATATTTTGCGATATTTCGCGTGTTGGCTTGTGAAAGGAGACGATTTGTGAAAATCAGTGGGGATTTAGATTTTAATTGTAATATAGATAGTTGTATATCATGCATTGTTTTCCATACTATCCGTGAAATGTCTGACAGGGTGTAATAATTTGTGGTAATAGTGTTGTTTATCACAGTCCGATAACGATGGCGACCACTTGACCATGGCTGCATAACTGAGTTTTGATGACCTTGTAGCTGTGCATGTAACTGATCATACTGATGACGTAGACTGAGTTTTGAACTCGTGTTATCGGATGGTTTGTGTTTGGCAAGTTCCAAACGGTAAGGTATAAGTTGTTTTCTAGAAGATATGTGTTAGGGAGATCACACAGGTCGTTGTATTAGTCAGAACATAAGGCAGTTATTTCAGGAGTTCCCCAACAAATTTGTTTGCTCAGTATTGTTAATAATACTGCATCATTCGATGTATGTTAGCACATTCTTTTACACCGACTGAATGGATTACGAATTTTCCAAGTCACCAGAGCGAATTCCGCTGTCATCGTATCCAATACGAAGCAACCGATTAAATTTAAATCTCGGTGTTTTTATGAATTATATCGGGTGTATGGTCGCACTCTTATGTGGTTTCATTTTTGGAAAGTAAGTTTTCATTTGTTCCTTCGTAACTTTTATCGATTCTTGTATTGGCGATGGAAGGGTTAGCTATTTCAGATATATGCAAGAGTTGCATGAGACGAAGCTGTGGTTTTCGCATATAAAGCAAGTTGAACAAGAGATATCGTTGAGGACTGAAGCTGGTCTTTATTATTCCTATTATAAGTTTGCCGTTCATCCAAAGATGTCATTTAATAGCACAATCTACGCACTGATGCATGATAACAGGTAAACGTAATATTTCATAATAGTTGTGTAATAATTAGTTATCTGCTAGACCACATAACAAAACAACAAGTGCTAAAACTTATTTTCAAGACATCTGTGGATACCTATCCATTATTACTTCATTTGATTGATTGATTACTTCATTTCAGCACTGAATTCCCTCGTCAAATTAACGTATTCGAACGGTTCAACATTTATCAAGAATTGATCCTTGCTGTTTTATACAAATTTTTTGCATCTTTCCGACTGCTTCGAGACTATTATTTACCAAAACCGATCCTATTTTATGTCTATTCATGCTTTACTTTTGCTGGACTCGGTGTTGCAACATTGTTTCTTCTTACTTGGGCTCTCACCGGAAGGCATACCATTTTCTCTTTTTCTTTTTTTGCAACCTTTACTTATCTACAGACGAGATTTCGAAAACACTCACCCAATCCAAGTGAACAGTTTTTAGTTGGCTATATGGATTGCTTGTTTTCACATGGATGCTTACAAACATCGATGACAGCACTCGAGTTTTCTTCACTGTTAATTTGCGGGAAAATTTTGCATTGCCGTTTTTTTGGCTGCAAAACGCGTGCATTGTTATGGTGCTTCGTTTCTCCGATGTCTCGTGCAAAAAATACTACTTTGTTTTTTCTTCGCCACTTTCCTATTTGCTCTGTTTTGGCAGTTTACTCAGGTAACTTGTTGCTATTTTACGTATCTTTTTCACTTTTTTTTTGCTATTCAGCAGTTCTGTTAGTTTAATCAACATGCAGTGCGTAACGCAATTTCAAAATAAGCGCAGGATGGAGTGAGTTGTAATAGTTATTACGGTTACATGTTGAGGGCAGCCTTTGAGTACGGGTGGTCCTAATGTTAATGCTGAAATATGTAAAGTGGTTTTCAGGGCCACCGCGGGGTTGGTAGGATATAATAATGGAGGCCTTCGTGGTGTACTGTTAAAGTCACATTTGTAATAAAATTATTAAGAAGGGAGAAATTGATAATTGAAGGGAAAGATTAAGTAATCAGTCATGTTTGAAAGGCTTTGGCCGCTTGATTAAGTGCTGCGATAAGGTGAGACTTCTTCATCATAAGTTCTGGCGAAGGCTGTCTGTTAGACTAATTGTAATTGAATAAGTGGGCGTCTCGAAGATTTGAAAAAACAGTATCTTTTTGGTGCTTCTAAAATCGCAAAAATTACAGTTCATCTTGGTACTGCAGTCGACATCTCTGGTGGGAATGAGTCTGATCATTCCTCATCTGTCATCCACCATTATTTCGCTTCTCTTGCTGCAGTCGCTAGCATTTTTCTTTGTTGTATTAGCGCAGTTTGGTCAGCTAATGAATATTGCTTCCATTTGTACGGCCTTTAATTTAAGCTCCATTGTCATCCTTCGTTTAACAACCAACACAGGAAGGTTTGTTGCAAGTTATTTAATTTTTACTGAATGAAAATGATAGTGGAAGTGATCAATGTATGTTACGATACTTGTTTCTAGCACGTTTCCCCCATCTACTTATTATCAATTTACTCATTTTACTTTTACAAATTATACGTTTTGTTCCTATTTATTACAGGGAGCGAATGAGTTTAATACTGCTAAAGTCAGTTTATATCGTTACATTAACGCTGGCGCTAAGCTGGTTCATCCGTTATCTTGTGGGCGCTGAAGCTGACACGCACATATGGACTTTTGTAAAGGCTAAAATTGGCTTAATTTCGAGGTAGTTATATTTTTTATATTTGATTATCGGTTCTATTTGCTTCATTCTTTTACGAACTTATGCTTAACAAGGACAAATAAACAAAGTGTAATTATAATGTGAAGAGTTTGGTGTGAGGGAAGCTGAAAATGAATATAAAGATGTCCATTGGTTGAGGCTGGATAGTTGAATAATTCGCTAATATGTGTGAATGCAAAAAGTGTTGAAATTATATCAGTTGGAATATAAAAAATTACATTGTACATGCAATAATCAAATGTTTTTTCCTTAAGTGCTAGAACAGTTTGGAAGGATTAGGACAGGACAGTATTGCCTTAATTTTATTTTGAATGGAGTAGTAGAAGGAACGTTGAGTTCAGTAGTCGTACAAAGTGGAATGATGGAAGTCTTTGAGATGTGGAAGCAAAAGACGAAGATTTAGATTTTTTTCATTCAGTATTAGTTTTGAGCAGTTTTCTTTTTTTTTTTTTTTTTGAGCAGCCATATTTAGGTCCTCAGTACCTTTCGAAACTGCCCTATATTTGTGTCACGGAGCTTTCGCTTATCTCGATAATGACTTCTTTCGGCGTACATCCCTGAATGGTTGCTTTCCGCTCTTCACAGCAGCGATATTCATTGTTACTTTAACGACGATATATTCAGTTACGATGCAGCGCTGCGGTCGAGGATCTGGTATTGTCTTTATTAATCTAAATAGTAGAATGCTGTAGTTTATTGTGTGGTTTGCATCTATTGTTGCAGTACCTGCATTTATCAATCATTTTGGGCCGGAAACGATTTTTATCGTCATTCAGTCAATGGTATGTGGAATAGTTGCTGTTTTTACTCTCCGAATGAAATACCTTTGGTTTCCACAGATTGCCCTTGTTGCCTGCGTGTTACCTGTGATGTAAGTAAGTCTTCATCCCGCTACCTTTCATTAGAGTGTTATACTGTACGTATTCTTCAAGGTATATCTTGAGAAACAATGAAACTTATTTGAAAATCTGTTATTGAACAGCAATACACAGCTTTGAGGCAGTGAGTTGCAGTTGTTTGAAGGGATATTAAAAGTTCGAAAAAAATGTCAAGTGCTAGGGAAAATTAGTACACAAACAATATATGCAAATGGTTGAGTAGCTTGTTTTGTTAAGAACAAGGAAATACAGGGCGTGCTCTGCACTTCAGGATTTCAAAGTACTCGGGACGGTTTGTTGTACAGATGGTAGTAATAGCTGCAATCACAACTCTGCTATACAACCATTATGGTATTTACAAGGAACAGATAGCGGACGAACAGGTATAGTTCATGAGTTACATTTATGCGTATTTCTCGTAGACATTCGTACTTTATGTAAAACTCTTTTCCAAATCATTTGGATCAGAACTGAGCAGTGCACGCCACGATCAAAAATTTAGTACTAATTCAGGAATTTTATGATCCGGATACTGTTGCATTAATGGAATGGATCAAAAAGTCAACGCAGCCTTCATCTTCTTGGTCAGGAAGCATGCAGCTGATGGCCGGAGTAAAAGCTTGCACAGGAAGGTATTTGGTTAATCACCCACACTTTGAAGATAAGTGGTTGCGTGATCGGACATTACAGCTTTATCAGGTTGGACACTTTACAAAGCTGATGTAAAGTCTTAAATGACTTCGCTATTTTGAAATATTATCTCTAATTTGAGCAATTTTTCTTTTGTCAATATTGGGGAAATAGTCATGGATGACAAGCAAATTGATTTATTGTTAGGTGCTTGATTTTTAACTTGCTGAAGAATAATTGATTCATCTCATCCTTGCAATAAAATTTTTCTCAGATGTATGGTCGAAAAACGCTCGCCGAAATGCATGGAATTTTGACAGCTCATAAGGTAGATTACATCATATTGGAGGATAGTATATGTCTGGCCGCTTCAACGGGATGTTCAACGAAAGATCTGGTGGATGCCGCTAATGGTGATACGCTAGAGTATGTCATGCCGAAAAGTGAGATTTGGTTGTGTCTTGGTATAATTATGTATATGAATAATGGACAGAATTGTTGCAACATTTTAAAAACTTGGATGTATTTTTCAGTAACTTGCAGAAACTTGGATGGAGAAAAAAAAAGTCCTGCGAGATTATTCAGTCCCTAAATTTTGTTATAGATTGAAGAAGATACATTGTACTTTTTTTTTCTGGAAATGGAACTTGTAAAAGAGTCGTTAGCATGATTAACAAAGTTGGCTTTTTGGTTTTCAAATATTATATTGCAGAAACAGATCCGAAGACGCTATCGGTTCATTTGCGGTTTTGCGATAGGGTACGCTATGTTGATGATGAAACGAAACTTTATTTCAAGCTGGTATTTGAAAATCCCACTTTTCGCGTCTATCAAGTACTTGGTGATAGCTAACTTTTAGTCTGTACGTACCTGTTGTACTTGGTTACCCGTGTTATGTTTTGTCTTGGACAAGTTTGGAGGATGAAAATTTTTGAGAGCTGTGTAAAATGTAAATGTACATTAAGGAAAGTTTCAAATGCTGAAAACATTTCCGCAGAGTTGTCCTGTTGTTTTTAAGGATTTCCATGTATAAAATATTTCAGAGTTCGTTTCAAATGAGTAACTTGGAGTATGGACCATTTTTAACTTATACAGTGGAAACATAAATATCTTTGGGATTACAAATGGAAGTTTGAATATTGGGATGTTTTGTTTTTTTCAAGTGTGCAACCGAATGTCAAAGAAGAATGTAGAGTGTATAGCTCGTAAAACTGCAAAAGACTTCATTAAACTTATTTTCTTGTAATTCACTGTAATTAATTAATTGACTCCGAAAGCAGTACAGATTTGCAAATGAAGGAGGGTCAAGTACGAGATATGTAAAGAGACTTTGTATCTATTCACTTTCCTGTAAACAACTAGCCATGTACGAAAAGTGTCACTAATAAAATGGAACCAAATAATCAGATGGAGTAATCTTCAAGCTGCCGTTAAGCTTTGTTCAAATAGATACTGCGGAGTTGGAGTCCGGTCGGATTAGTTTATTGCTTACGCAGTTCTATGCTTGCACAGCAGGTTATCAGTAGCTCTATATGATTATTAGGTTCAGGGGTACGATGATTGCACTTTTTTACTACGATACTTCAATGTTATGATGTTCCTTGAATCCACAAACCTATTTGCCATTGTGTGTTCGAAGATTTGTACAATGTAAGCCGTATCCATCTCAAGAATTCTTTTCATCGTAGTTTTGTTTGGAAATTACGTGAAATAATCCTTCCATTGTCCGCTTTTATAGTATTGGTTGTTTGAAACAGAGCAGTTGAGCATTGTTCATGATCGATGCTTGACCGCGTTCAAAACAACGTTTTCTATCCGCGATGATCGGTTTTCTGAACAGTTCTGATAACTTACATTTTGGATTATTTAAGCTGGATTTAGCATAATGCACAAGGAAGTCGTTCTTGTAAA